CAGAGTGGTAGGGAGAGGGAGAGAGAGAGACATAAATGATGAGAGAGAATAATTGACTGGCTGCCTCCTGCATGCCCCACACTGGGGATGGAGTCCGCAATCTGGGCATGTGACCTGACCAAGAGTCGAACCATGACCTCCTGGTTTATAGGTCAAACACTCAACCACTGAGCCAAGCTGGCTGAGCAATAATACATTTTTTAAAGTCCTGATTTTTGCATGTGGCCACATAAAGTAAGTTCAGCAGTTATTATTATCACCCGCAGAAAGATAACACAAGTTCCAATGTTGGGTGCCTGACAGATGCTTTAAATATCCATAGTTCTCTATATCTAGGCTTTCCAACTTTTGATCACAGCCTGAACTAAGAAACAATTTTTAACATTTCAACTAGTATACCTACCTACGAAAGAAAACTGAAAAAAAAAAAATTTCACAAACACTCTTCTAATTTTTTTCACTTTAAAAATAAGACAAAAATTATACCGGTCATGATATACAAGCCATTACTGAGTTTACAGTTAGAGAAAATACCACAGTCAGAAAAATATTAGTTAGGTACATTATAGTATATATGCACAGTGAAAAAGGATGTAGCCATTAAAAGAATGAGGCAGTTGTTCCACTCATATGAATGATGTCCAAGGTAGATTATTAAATGAAAGAAAACTAATTTAAAAATGGTTGGGTTCGCTTCTGAAGGATGCTCCAGCATGTTTTCCCTCTTCTTTATCAACAGGATATGAAAAAATCACACAGAAAGAGAATTTCTCAAATGTTAGTGGCCATAAAATTATGTGGGGAACTTGGTGAAATTCCTGGGCGCCATCGCTGGGGATTCTGCGGTGACAGACACTAGACTACAGCTACCACCTCTGTAGCAATACTTCCTGGCCAGAGGCCTGGCAGTGTGAGCCGGTGAGGCTCCTGACAGAGCCCCACTTAGGAGGAAGACTGCAGGGAGCCCAGACTCCCAGGGTCAGAAATGAGTCTTAAGGGCAGTGGAGGAGGTGCCTCCTCAAGTACTCATGAGGGAGTACATGAGACCTTTCTACTGTGGGCATCCTTCCTTCTGTTTCCCCGCCAAACCCCTATTTTTAGCTCTGAGCATGGACTAAGAGGCCAAGTACAGAAGGAAGTCCTGGTGTTGAAATGAAGTTTCTCCCTGTGTTTGCCCCTCAGAGCCAGAGTACGTCTCAGGAGGCCATCCAGGGCCCTGCTCGCTCGAGAGCCCTTATTCAAAAGAAATGGCTCTTCTTTGGGGTAGGATTGTAACTCAGCCCAGGATGCAGTGTGGCTGGCAGAGAGCAGGTTGGATTTCAGCACCCGCCCCCCTCCCCCACAGATTGAGAACCGCTGCTGTATCAGATGTAACCCAATTCACTGCGGTGGTCAACCCTGGCCCTGGTCTTACTCTGTTCAGGAATAAAAATTCCAGGCACCGTGTCGGAGTAGAAAAAGCACCATGTTGGGCGCCAGGAGAGCTTTCCATCCCAGTCCGGCTCTGTGACTGGGACATAGTCACTGGGCCATGGCCCGCAGTCTCCTTAGAGACAGAATGAAGGGCTTTCCCTGACCCTCAGTCCAGCCCAGTGATGGCGAACCTATGACACACGTGTCAGAGGTGACACGCGAACTCATTTTTTTTGGTTGATTTCTCTTTGTTAAATGGCATTTAAATATATAAAATAAATATCAAAAATGTAAATCTGTTTTACTACAGTTGCAAATATCAAAAAATCTCTATATGTGACACGGCACCAGAGTTAAGTTAGGGTTTTTCAAAATGCTGACACGCCGAGCTCAAAAGGTTCGCCATCACTGGTCTAGCCCTTGGGGTCTTGCCTCACCTTCCACAACTCCATGTTTCCTTCTCCACATCCCGGCTTGACTGAAACACGGCTACTGGCACAGGCCACCAGGCTGTGCTCTGAGGCTGCTGGCCTTTGTGGAGAGCTGTTCCCTGGTTGGAAAGCCACTCCTGACACGAGTCCATTTCACTCACTGGTCCATCTCCTTCAAGGTCCAGCTCCACTCTGTTTCTCTGGGTAAGCCTTCCCTGGCTTCCTCGGGTATGGTCCTCACCACTGCACCTTGAATAGACACTCCTCCTCAGAGCAGGGGTTCCACTGAATTGGGGTCCTCAGCTGGAGTGTCTGTCTCCCCATCACAGGCAAGGACCACATCCTTTGGAGACAATGTTCTACTGACCACACAGTGTTAGGTGCACACACACGGTAGGTACTGTAGAAACGAATCAATGGCAAGACTGTTTCTTCTACCCTCTGTAGAAATTATTGAATGTGTCCCCTTGTATCAAGGAGAGGAAACAGTACCTGTACCTATGTCCAGTCTTTGGAACCACAGACAGATCCTTTTAAGTTAAGAGAAAATGATATTATACAGAAGAGGCCTCTATGGTGTATTCTCCTCAATACAGCCCTTTAAAAACATAAGCCAGGTCTTGTTTCATTATTTTATTATCTGTCTTTCCTCCTAAAATGTAAGCTCCAGAAGGGCAGTCAATTGCATTCATTGCTGAGTCCCCATCACCTAAAGCAGTGTCTGGAACCTAGATGATGCTCTGTAAAAAAAGAAAAAGATGTTGAATGAAGGAATGGAGTAATAAATGAACCCATGAAGATGAAAGGTGCTTGTGGGGGGCGAGGGGGCGTGAAAAGAAAGGAAAGAATTTGAATCAGATTCTGCACTGCTAAGCATGTTTACAAATTGCTTTATAATCATTAATTAGCTTTTCTAAACCACATCCCCTGAGTACAGGCAGGCCTATCCTCCCAATTTTAAGATAAGGGAATTCAAACCCAAGGTCACACAGCAAATCAACTTCCCCTTCAATGCTGAGTTTTGAGCTGGTAATAAGAGTGAGATTAAAGATACTGATGATTTGTAAAAGGTTGAAATATTAGAGGAAATAAAAGAGTTCAGGGCATGGGACCAAGAAAGCTTTGCATATATTCTCAGCACACTGCATGAAAGAAAAGCAGGCTGCTCTGTCCGGAATCATACGTACACTATTCGTACAACACTATTCGGTCATCAATTTCCACAGTTCTGAGAGGCAGACATTTGCAAGAAACAACGGGAGCTGCAGTTTAGCTCCAGCATCTCAGGCCCAGATGCCAATCAGCAGTGACACCACTTTGTCACACGGAGGCTGGGCTCATGCAACACCAGGGCCTGCACAGGCGCTTTACAGGGAGAATGCAGGGGGAAGAGAGAGGAGAAGACTAAAACACCAACTAAAAAAAGAAAGAGTTCATCAAATAAACAATAGGCTGACATCAAAAATAAAAATAAATATATACAATCATAGTTTAATCACTGTATAATCTTCTAGCAGCAAAAATGCTCACGCATATTACAAATGAGACTAAATTATACTTCTCCCCCCGGCCCCCAAAAATAAAGGAAATGGACAGATGAAAGAAAGAGTCCTAATCATTCCATTTCAGTTTTTTTTAAAAAAATACATTTCATTGATTTTTTACAGAGAGGAAGGGTGAGGGAAAGAAAGCTAGAAACATCGATGAGAGAGAAACATCGACAGCTGCCTCCTGCACAACCTCCACTGGGGATGTGCCTGCAACCAAGGTACATGTCCCTGATCGAAATCGAACCCGGGACCCTTCAGTCCGCAGGCCGACGCTCTATCCACTGAGCCAAACCGGTCAGGGCAGTTTTTTGTTTTAATCAAAATGAAACTTGCTGAACCCTGGCTGGATGGTTCAGTTGGTTCAAGTGTTATCCTGTACACCAAAAGGTTTGATTCCCAGTCGCAGCACACAACTAGGCTGCAGGTTCAATCTCTGGCCAGGACATGCGTGGGAGGCAAACAATTGATGTCTTTCTCTCACATTGATGTTCCCCTCCTGCTTCCTCTCTCTAAAAAATCAATAAAGCATATCCTAGAGTGAGGATTTAAAAAAATTAAATTTGTTGAAAAATCATAGCTGGTTTCCCAGCATTATTAATAAGTCCAAGAAGGGAAGAGTACAATGTACATTTTGACTCAAACTAGAAATTAATTTTGGTTGGTCTTTTTCCATTTACTTGTTAAAACATATTTTTTATTGATTTTTGAGAGAGAGAAAGGGAGAGGGAGAGAGTGAGAGAGAAACATCAATGTGAGAGAGAAACATTGATCCACCCAAACCTGGACTGGGGACCAAACCTACAACCTCTTGGTACACAGGGACATGCTCAATCAACTGAGCCACACTGGCCAAGGATCAATTTACTTTTTATGTAGTTGGAGAAATGAGATCAATCTCGCTTCTGTTTTAACAATTAGTTTCCACTAAAACATAAAAATACATTTGACACTGGGAGAAGGAAAGAGGTCACAGACTGCTGAACAGGGAATAGAGGAACCAAGAACGTTCGGAAACAAGGAAGCCCATCCTCAACAGTCCTTCAAGACTGATCCACATTTCACCAAGTGGAAGGGCCGAGCACAAGGTAACTAAAATGTCCAGGGCACTGGCAGGGCTGGAGGCAAGGCCAAAGTGTGAGCTCTCTGCTTCTCTGGGTCCTGAGGGCATGACTCTAGGGGGTCACGCCTCCCAAAATACTGGAAGCAAATAGGAAATCATATTGAAATGGAGACAAGGAAAACCCAAAGCTGGGGATAAATTATAACCCGACCCTGTGGCTTAATCACTCACTCAAACTGCACCCATATAATGTCAGATGAGGCGTTCCTAAACATTTAGCATGGTAGCGTCTTCTTGACATCCAACAAAACCGAAAATGGTTTGTTACTAATTCATCTTCAAAGGTGCATGAAAAGCGATCTGAAGCTTTCACCATATTAACTTTTAAAAACAGCTTTACAGAGATCGAGTTTATATAAAATCCACCTATTTTTAAGTGTGTAGTTTGATGAGTTTTGGCAAATATATACACTTGTGTGACCATGATAGCAATAAATAAATAAAAAAGAGAATATTTGCATCACTCCCCAAAAGTTCCCTGATGCCTCTTTATAGTCAAGCACCTTTCTCCATCCCAGGCCTCAGGCAACCAGATCTGTTGCTATGGTTTTGCCTTTTCTAGAATTTCACGTAAACAGAATCATCCAGTGTGCAGCCTTGTGTCCGGTTTCTTTCACTTAGCACGCAGTTTTGAGATTCATGCATGCTGCTGTGTGGGTCAGGGGTCCCACACGTTTTTATTGCTGAGTAGTATTCCGTTTCTTCATGTCACTTCCACATGCTTCCTAGAGGCCCTACCATAATCCCTATGCTAACATCCTAAATGTTATTTCTCTACATTCCTTGATTTTATCCTCTGAAGAAATGTCAATATGGCTTTGGTCACATGGCCAGTACAAAAAACACCTCCTGTCAGGAGGGTCACGATCGTCAAGCCAACAAAAATTGAAGCACACAGTTGGAAATAACTAGCCATGCTGAGGAAAAGAAGGCCAAAGGTGAGAAGCCGACATCCCGACAAAATGTCCTGACTGTAAAACGCTGAGTTATAGAGAGAGCCACTTCCTCACTGATCAGCTGATCAGCATTTCTACATTTTGGGAACAATGACACACCTGACCATTGTGAGGGGTACATGAGACACTCGCCTGGCTTGTGAAGTTTCAGGATATTTAGGTATTTCACATGATTGGATTTTTGGATAACTGAAATTTATCTTAAGTTCTGTTAATTACTAAGTAAGTACTGAAAGGGTACTAATTCCATGCCTTATTAAACAGTCTACTGAACATAATGAGCTGTTTACTAGATGCACAATCAGCATTATAAACAGTCTGATGGCGCTAAGCTCTTGAACAGAGAGGTCCTCAGGGGTTACCAGACTTGGGTCTGCCTATTCTAAGTGGCCCCCAAATACTATTATTTTAAGTGGAACTTTCCATCTTCTTCCTATGTTAATGGGCAACCTTGACACTGTTGCTATGTCCTTGCTACTAACCTGCTATTATTTTTCCTTTAAAAATAATCATAAAATATCTCCATGATACAGAAAAGTCTTAGAAAATAAGTATTTCCCCTCTGACTTTGAAACTGTTCACAACTGATGTATTTGTTTCAGAACATTTTTCAATACAGTAAAAAAATAACTTTTTTGGTGAATTTCCCCCCCCCCACTTTTTTTTGCTGTGCAACTGAGTTTGCCCAAATATTTGTGAGCATACATATACTCTGGGATGTCACTTTTATGACATTTTGTTCAATGTATTTTTTAGGCTGCTACATAAGCACCATTGTTTTAGATGCTGATTAGAAGAGCAAGTGAATGTACCAGTTATCGAACCCATCCCATGTCATCATTACTCAAGTAGGATATTTCTGATGCCTTGCTACTGTACATGGACTTCAGAGAACATTTTACGCATATAGTCTAACTTCTCGATGTTTAACCTACTCAGAAAGCATATGTGAGCATTATCTGGCTTGAAAGTGACTCTGTGGTATCATTAGAAAGAGGTGTAAGGAACTGTTTTACTCATCCATCCATTTCCCCATCCATTCATTCAAAACACACTTACCAAATTCCTACTTGACACTAGAGACCTTTTTTTAGTAAAAAAAGTTAGAAAGAGTAAGACATGGTCCCTCCCCTCCATAAGCTCACACACTAGCCAAGGAGACAACCTTGCTGCACTTGAAACGTCAGAGAGCGGCACAAAGGAGCAGCGCGAGTCGTGGATTTGCTACGCCACATTGCGCAGCCGGTGCCTGCAACTCAGCCTGTGGGAGGAAAACTCCCTGGCTGGCTATGCAGGGAGTTTAAAGACAGGTAAGGCTGTCTGTCCGTCCACTGATACTGGTTCTATGTACTATTCTGTTCTGATATTAACAAAGAGATGGTATCCAACCCCCCCCCACCCCCCCCCAATCCAAAGGCAAGCATAGCAAAACGATAACTCTCTCTCTCCTGGTACTAAGCACTCTCACTGTCATTTTCAGTGAAGGAGACAAGACCTTTCTCATGACAGCAGAGAGCAGTCACAGAGCTGGGCTGTTGCCTGTGAACGCCTCCTCGCAGGCAGCCCAAGCTCTCCTATTTTAGCAATCCGCACCGACGGAGTCCCCTTCTTGCCTTGTCAACAAATGCATGACAATCCTCCTTTTTTCCTTAATGCCTATCATACTGGAAACAGGGCCGAAGAGGTGTGTCGCCAGTGTCAGGAAAGATGTACACAGAAAAAGAAAGAGCAGCAGTTCATGCCTGAAGGTCAGACGTGAACAGGCAGGCTCAAAGGTCCCCACCCTAACCCCGGTCTCTCAGATATGTGGGGCCTTGTCCTTGTGAGCTGTTGCCAGCCCTTCTGGGCACGCCTCCCGCCCTGGTGGCGTTCTCGGCCAGAGACAGGGAAACCAATCTAGAGTGGAATAAGGAAGCAATGGGAAAGCCCGAGAACATGGGCTCAAACAAATTCCCACAAAACTACCCATTTTTCTTCCATTTGAATCAGCGGGGAAGGGCAAAAATTCACTTCTCTTTAAACCTGGGAACTGTCTCAAATAAACGTATCAGCAGAAACATCTGATATGGCAATGAGCTGAATAATTACTAGGTAATTCACGTGTTCTTAGCAGTCATTTTTTTTAATGTTTTTGATTTTAGAGAGAGAGGAAGGGAGAAGGGAGAGAGAGAAACATCAATGGGAGAGAGCAACAGTGATGAGCTGCCTCCCTCACACTCCCTACCAGGGATGGAGCCTGCAACCCCAGCATGAGTCCTGAACGGGATCGAACCAGCTACCCTGAGGTGCACAGATCGACACTCAACCAACTGAACCACAGCAGCCACGGCAGCACTCATTTTGTTTTATTCTAGTCTCTTCCCCACATCCCCCTAAACCCCCAACCTCCATGAAATGAACACACTGTTTGTAAAAGTCTTACACTGCTGACTGGGA